GTAAGAAAGGCATAACGGTGTACAATTTGAAAGAAGCTATTAAAAGTCGCAAAGTGTGTATGGAAGACAAGTACAAGATTGGGCTTGTATATATTTTGGAAACGATACTATTGCCCAAAGAAAGCTACACATACATAAATTTAGAACACTTGTCAATGGTTGATGACCTAGAGACTTTTAATAGTTATCTTTGGGGGAGAAAGGTGTTTGGCTGCACAATAGATGTATTCACGAGAGACTGGAAATCGTTGATGAAGTCATACTCGATAAATAATGAGAAATATCAATATTCAATTTATGGATTTTCACTCGCCTTGCAGGTAATGTTTTTAAAATTACAATTTATTATTCATTTTGTTTAGTTTGTAATATTTTGCATCTTATATAGATTTGGGCCTATAAAGCCATACCATCTATTGGACAGAGATATGGTGAGAATCTACGGGAGGCTGACCTCCCCAGAATATGTCGATGGAATTCTTTTGAAATGCCTAACTCCAAGGATATTGGTGCACGTATGGACAAACCAAATGTAAGCAAATTTTAAATGTACATCAAAATATATAGTGTACTTTATAACAACTAAGTGGGCTTCTCATTTTTCATATAGATTGTTCATTGCACATTGAAACCTACGTCGAAAGAGGCTTCCAAAGCATATTGGACAGAGATTCATCGATTTGAGGATGAAGTAGATGATCCAACAGTTGATATCTTTGTGGATAAGGAAAATGTAGCAGATTCGTCCGTTTGTGTTGATTTTCCTCAACAAACTTGCCAGTTTCCTAATGCCTCTACATCTCCTCGAGATCCATCATTCTTTCATAGGCCACCTACTTCTACAGATGCTCATACATTTCATCTGGGACCATCTACATCATATCCATCTTTGTATCCATTTATAGATGAGTTCGCTCAGGAATTGAAAATGCAATTACTCCAGATGGTAGAGATTTTAGAGAGGAAAAATGAAGGGCGAATAGATGAGATGCGGTCTTACATAGACCAAAGGTTTGATTGTGTTACATCTTTGTGTGGATAAATTGATGAGAAGATATGATCCGTTGTAGAGTGGATTAAGAAATCTAACCCGTCAACAACACCTTACACATATCACTCTCCTCTTCGTAGTGGATTTATGAATACTGGAGAAGTATGTGATGTAAATGAGGATCCACTTGTACATCAAAATGATAAGAATGAAGATGGCAATGAGGAGAGAGAAGTGGAAGATTATGTGCTTGCAAATGAACCAGTTCTTGTAAAAGAAGCAACGTTGCCCGTAGATGGTAATGAACAAAAACAAGCGGATGATATGAATAACTGTCCAAATCCCATTGAAGTGGAAAATGAGTAAAGACAAGCAACAGATTTGCCGAATGATGATCAAACTCGTGTGGAAGAGAGAGATACCTATGTACCGATGGATTCTATATCACATGGTGATGTAATGAAGTCCATCCCTACAGCGGTGGAAGATGAGTTTGATAATTCAAGTCAGAATGGGCGCGAGATGAGAATCAAGAAAATGTCACTCATTCTTGAATCTCCGTTCACAAATCCGAAGAAGAGGAGAAAGCTTCACAATGTAAACGCATTTGACCCATTTCGAGAGCTAGATCCGGCTAAGGCAGATGACTTAAAGAATTGGTTGGTTAATGTACCTGACAAGTAACTATTCTTACATTAATTATTTTTGTGAAGTTGTAATATATGTTCTTATGTTATTTGTTTTATCCAGTGAACATGTGGAAATGATATTGTTCACGAAGCCAAAATTTTTTTTTGTTGAAATTCAGAAGCAATTTGGATGGCTCGATAGTGATGTAAGTACTTTAGCATTCTATATTTTTCTCATACTTCATTTCATTTTTAAACGGCTTTATACATCTGCAGCACATTGACACAGCGTTGTTGTTGATGAGAGCACGAATATATACATATCCTACTGTGTTCCCACAAGATTGTGCAATTTTAGATTGTGCTTTTACTAACATGTGCACCAAGAAGTTTGAAGATTTTGAGCTGCATAAGAAACAAAAAAAGCCAGAAGAAGACTTTTAAATGGTTGAAAATATGACAAGATATATATATGGTAAAAATCCAGAATGGAGCAAGCGATGAGATTCTTGTACATCGTTGTATATTCCTTACAATGTGGAAATGAAGCACTGGATTGCACTTAAAGTGGACATTGTCGAGCGAACTATATATGTACATGATAGCATGAAGAGTTTGACACGTTTGGGAAAATTGCAAAAATTCATGCGTCCAATTGTGAAGGTGATTCCTAGAATGATGAAGGAAAGTTTGTTATTCGAGGAAAACTACACACAGAAGAAGTTTCTATGGCACCGACATACAGATGTTCCACAACAAAATAATGCGTAAATAATCTATCTTTAAAATATTTTAGATTTTCACTTTATTTTGTGAGTGCATATATTTATTATAACAAATATATATTTGTAGGGGAGACTGTGGGATATATGCTATCAAGTTCATAGAGCTTTTATCAGCCG